ATGAGTAATGGAAGAGGAAAGGAAGGAGTTCAGAGAGAGAGAGAGAGAGAGGCCAATATGAGGAGCAAAATGTAGCAATTGCTGGACTACTAGCTGATGAAAAAAATGGTTAGAATTTTAGCTTTGAATTCTTTTTACTGTCTTTTATATCGGGGGTTCTTCAACGTATGGGTCACCACATATTGATAATGATAATGTGCACACACACACACACACACACACACACACACACACACACACATATATATATATATATATATATATATATATATAATAATATATATATATATATATATATATATATATATATATATATATATATATATAATATATATATATATATATATATATATATATATATATATATATATATATATAATATATATATATATATATGTGTGTGTTGTGTGTGTGTGTGTGTGTGTGTATGTGTGTGTATGTATGTATGTATATACATATATACATATAAACATCAAACTGGATCGTATTGGAAAAAAGTTTGAAGCCCACTATTTATAAGCACTTCCCGCCCTTGCTACCCTGTTACGCCTTTTATTCTCCATTTAAAATTTCGTGGACATAGAAAGTTGCCCGCCATCAAAGAGAGGGGGAAAAAACGAGAGAGGGAGAGGGAACACACTTAGATCCCCAGTGAATAGCAAACACCCCCGCTTTCACCACAGCATTGTCACCACAACCAAGCAAACCCCTTATAAAGTGTCCCAACCATCCTGCTTAACAAGCAACCTTACCTGACGACCCTATTTCCCTCCAGATAAGGACGTCGGATGAGGACGTCAACGTCTCGGAGGCCATCTTCAACTCCATCGGCGTGAGACCCTGTCAGCGCCATTGCTACAGACGAGACCAAACGGGCGAATGTCGGCTCAACTTCTCCTGTTTCCTTGGCTTGAACTGAGCTCTTGAGTTACGCCGGGATTCTTAGGGCTTGAATATTTTCGTTTACTTTTTTTCTGAGTGTCACTTTCTGTCTATCTCTGTGTTTCTTTTCTCTTCTCTCTGTGGGGGGGGGGGACTTTTTGTTTGTAGCGGACTTTTTATTCTCTTCATTTAATGCAGCAATTAGGGTTGTTTTCACTTCTTGATCTTTACTGTTGTTATAAATCCGTTTACGTTTTTCTTTTTCCCATTTTCCCGTTGCCAATTATTTCTTACCTTTATCTGAAAATCCCGTTTTCATCAGAAAAGTATCTTTTGTCATCATTTGCCTTTCTTGTTTCTAAAACCACAATAGATGTTTCTTGATAATATTAGTATTTAGAATGAATAAATTTCAACTGGATTAGCTACTTTTGTTTTCTTTATTCTTTTTCTTGTCCTCTTATATTTGAAATATATAGACTTTAAATATATTTTCATATGAAATAAAACCAAAGGTTATTCTCTGGTCAATGGATACCATAAACGTAGATATCATTTGTCATCCTCATTCACTATTCAAAGGCGAGTCGAATCAAAAAGATAATTCGTGGTAATGGAGTACAAAAGAGATTAACATATGTCTGTGTATGCACAGTGACCGCAATAAAAAACGGTTACATATTCAACGCAAAAAGGAAGAAGAAGAAAAAAATTACACCGTGTTCGGAGATCATCCATCAAGCGAAGTCGTGCAACGTTGAGCGATTGTCTGTGATAAATGAATGACTAACTTCGCTTTTATGCCAAGTTAGACAATTTGTAATTATATTTTGAATTAATAGAGTGAGTCCAAATAAACTGATATTGCACGGGAAAACGCGCGTTGTTGGACGTTATCATAACAAGGATCGTATGTGATACCCGTAGTTCCAAATAAGAAAGTATGAAGATGCAAATATAACCTGAAAGTGGTTGCTGCCACACTAGCTGCCAGAGAAGTAACACAGAGGGAGCAGTTCTGGAACCACGAAGAAAAATTTACTAAGGGCGACCACAATGCTCAAGCGTGAGGTTGTGTGAACCTACTATAACACCGACATCTTAGAGCAAGCATCCCGAACTCCTCAAGGACATGTCAGTCAGGACTATCTAGCATCGCATTCATCTGTGAACCCTCTATTCACGCTGTCAAGAAATATCAATACCGGAAGAAAGTCATGTTCAGTGGTGAAGGTACTTTCAGACGAGCGAGGGGAGTGGCAAGCTGCGAGCGTCGCCCCACGATCCGAAATTCAGCAAAGAGTTTTAATCAAACATGCGACACTGTGATCGTTTGGGATTTTGTCTTTGGGAATGAGGGCAGGGAAGGTCTGTACTATCTTCTGAAGAAAGTTACAGAGATGGCGATCAATCACGATAACGCATTAAAAGGAACATTTCCTCTTTCTTTAGAGAATACACGAATCCTAATTTCGTCGGTGATAACCTAACTTTCAGACAGTCTAAGATTTTCAAAATGGCTGTCGAGTCAATGTATTAAACTTACTAGGTAACTTCCGTGATTTTAAATAGAAATACATAGTAGTGAATAGAAAAATATATCAATCAAAATTCAAACAAACAAATTTTATTGCCCTCCAAATACCAGTGTAAACATAGATGTATACATATACTTATCTGTCTATCTATCTATCTATCTATCTCTCTATCTATCTATCTATCTATCTATCTATCTATCTATCTATCTATATATATATATATATATATATATATATATATATATATATATATATATTATATTATTATATATATATATATATATATATATATATATATATTATATATATATATATATATATACATACACAATGTGTGTGTGTGTAAGTATAAACAAAAATCTATAGAATATATCACTTTATATTCTCATTAAGTAATTTTAGGTGACAATAGTGTGTATCTGTATAATTCTAAGCAACGGAAATTGATGGAAAAAAATTATGTATAGTAAATGCAAGCAAGAAACAAGTTTCCAAATTCTATTGAGGTTACTCCTACAATTATACACAGAAAATGAGCCAGAAAACAAACAAAGAAAACGTTTAAATTTAACGTAAACATCGCTAAAGCTTATTACATTTCGGTTTTATATTTTGTTTCAGTTCATGTTCCGTATTTCTGTCGAGATATTGAAATATCACGGATAATTCATTACTAAGAAGGAAATAAGAATCAACAGATTTATACGATGCGAGACATAGACGGACAGACTGGGAGGGAAGCTGAGAAAGATTATTATTTTTAACGCCGTGGATATTGTTCCGGCACCGGATTTTATAGCAGTTTGGCTATTCGTCCGGCATACATGCGCACTAACTATTTGCGCGCAAACACACTCGCGCTTGCGCATTAGCCTTGCATACAAACTTTAGCGCTATTTTTATGTTGTTTATTGTTCATGGCTAAGGGTCGATCATCGATTATGAATTCCTTCAAAGTTGAACTGAATTTGACAGATTTGCTGTTGTGAAGGACAGCTTGACCAAATTTCAAGAGAGCACTTTCGCACAGTTTTGTGTCAAAGATTCAAGGAGTGTTGCTGCAGCTTTGAAGCGTACACCGGATAAGAAAGTAAAGCCAGAGTTGAAGTACTCCTACTTAGTGTTTTCCTGCATCGGGAAATACGGCAATCGGAAGGGGGTCCGGGGCGAAGCCTCCGATAGGGAAATATGGCAATCGGGAGGGGGTCCGGGACATAGCCCCCGGGTTAGGAGGGATTTTTGGTTCATACGGCGATCCTACTAGTAGTTCGTGCATTTAAGATGCGGTTCACTCGCTCGTTCGTTCGCGCAACACCGTGTCGAATCATCCGTGGCCGAATCTTCTCTCGGGTTTCTACATTTTTCACTTTCTTTATCATCTGAAATACTATCCTTGGCTCGGATTTTCAATTTCCCACATTCTTATATTTTTTTGAATTGCATGGTATGAACGAAATCACCCCCCCCCCGATTCCCCACGGGATCCCCCAACATTGTTGGCAGGAGTCGGGGACTTCGTCTCTGACGGGTGCGGTCCTGTCGTTTATAGGCACGATAAAATCACAGTTTAGGGATGAAAATCACAGAAATGTCAAACTGTAGCAAACTTAGCATGTATGTCCACTTGGGCCTAATAATAATAATAATAATTAAAAAAAAAAAAAATGATGTGCGCCCCTGCCGGTAAAACAGCTATTCAGTGCAGGCTTCCGACAAAAAACGCCGGAAAAATATCCCAGCAGTCTCGATCCGACTATGAATATTGCGTGAAATGACAAAGACAGAATTATTGACTGTGCGCAAGCGTGAGTGTATGCCGGACGAATAGCCAAAATGTTATAAAATCCCGTGCCGGAACAATATCCTCGGCGCATTTTTAATGTTATTATTATCATTATCATCATTATTCTTTTTATAATTATTATTAACATTATCATCGTTATTGTTATTACTTTTATTTCATCACTTTATTATTATTATTATTATTATTATTATTATTATTATTATTTATTATTATTCATTACTATTACTATTTTTTTATCATTATCATCATTGTTGTTGTTACTTTATTATTATTATTATTATTATTATTATTATTATTATTATTATTATTATCATTATTATTACTATCATCATTAGTAATGTTATCATTGTTATTATTTACCATGATCATCATCGTTTATCATTAATATTATTGTTATTATCATTAATATCATTGTTACTATAACTATCATCATTATCATTATCATTATCATCATCATAATCATGATCATTGCTATAATCTTTATCATTATTACTATTATCATTGTTGTTGATATCATTATCCTTACTATTGCTATCATTCTCACCATTATTGTTATCATCTTCATTAATTTTTATTATTATTATTATCATTATCCTTCTCATTATCATTATTAATATTATTACTATTATCATTATTATCATCATTATATGTGTGTGTGTGTGTGTGTGTGTGTGTATGTGTGTGTTTGTGCACGTGTACATGTATGTTTGTGCGAGCGCGCAAGTGTGTGCATGTGTGTGTTTGTGACGTCTACCTTGCTAAGAAAAATAGACAAA